AAAATATCGTCGTTAAGCGGTTTTGTCGTAATGCGGGGCAATTGTAAAGCAAGGCACCACTGTATAACCATAATGGCTGGTTCATAATCAGGCAGTGGAAAGTTATGCAGGCATAACTTTGTCAGGCATTATGCCAAGGCAAGGCAGACTACACAATTTGACTGTGCAATGCACTAGCAGAAGTGCTTCTTGGACAGCACTTCCACCTAGGCCAATTAAAGGGAACATATAACTCCTCTCCACTAACAGCTTTAGTGGCTGCCAGTTTGTTTCCAGACACAATTCAAAGTGATGGTTATGGCCTTTAAAGCCATATACATCTTAGGTTCAGGTTATCTTAAAGACCATATCTTTCTATATAAGCCAGCCTTCACTGCTGGAGATGCCTTTCTCACAGTTCTTCCACCTTCAGAGAACTGTCTGGATAGGGACTCAAAAGTGGTCCTTTTCAGCAGCTACAGCCAGCTTCTCTCAAGAGAGGCAAGGTTTGCCCTCTCCCTGCTCTCTTTCTGGTGGCAGGAAAATACTCCAGCTATTGTCCTGGTTTTCATTGTTTTAAGATAATATTTTCATGTTTATTCAATTTTACAAAGATGATCAGGGAATTGGAGAGCAAGCCCAATGAGGAAAGACTGAGAGAACTGTGTATATTTAGCCTTGAGAAAAGAAGATTAGGGGGAGATATAATAGCACTCTTCAAATACTTGAAAGGTTGTCATTTGAGATGGGGGTATTCGTATACGAATATCCCTGCACAGGTGGTGTTAACAAGGGTCCAGCTATATGGGGCCAGACAGTCTATTCACTGATCCACCGTGGACGGGGACAGCGCGATTCTACGAATGGCTCTGCAGCGCACGATCTGCTTGCCACTCTTCGATCTTGCAGCAAAGCTTGTTCTCCCGCCTCCTGCCAGGAGTGGCGAGCAGATCACATGCTGCAGAGCCATTCATAGAATCATGCCATCTGCGTCCATGGCGGATCGGTGAATGGACCGTCTAGCCCCATGGAGCTGGACTCTCGTTAACACCACCTGTGCGGGGATATTCATATTTGTATACAAATACCCCTATCTCTAGTTGTCACAGACAACAGGAACAGGATCTGTTCTCAATTATTCCAGAGTGAAGGACACATGATAAAGGAAGTTACAGGAAGCCGGATTTTAATTCAATATCAGGAAAAATGTCCTAAGTGTACTACAATGGAACCAATTACCTCGGGAAGTGATGAGCTCTCCAACACTGGCGGCATTCAAGAGAAAGTTAGACAGCTACTGTATCTATCAGATATACTTTAACTTGGATTCCTGCACTGAGCTGAGGGTTGCCCTATAGGCATTATTCAATGGTTCTATCTGCAGTCACTACAAAATGGGGGGGGGCATGCAACCCTCATTTGCCACATCAATTAAAAAAATGATAGAAAAGAACACGCTATAAAGATAAACAAAAACTCCGCCTGTGACAAGTGCAGTGAAAAAAAGCAAAGCCTCTGACCAACAGAATGCTCAATGATGCAACTCAAAAAAATTCAGAGTAAAAATTAATCAAGAATGGGAGATGTACATACCCATTTGCACTTTTTATTCATTACAGGTTAGTATAAAGACCTTGTGACACAGGGTGAGATCTCAACATTCTAAAGAATGAAAGAATTAATAATAAATCTCACTTCTTAAAAATAATTTCTTACTCTTTAGACTCTGAGACTTCAATTACAGAAGGGAGTGTCTTCAGAGACAGATGTGTAGAATGAAAATCATCTTAGCCAAGAGCAGTGTTCTTCTGAAAGTAACAGAAACTGCTAATGAGAAACTGCTTCAGAAACAGTGAAAGATTTATGACAAAACTTACTGCAAACATACTGCTTCTTAAAAACAATAATTTGTTTCCATACAAACTGGGGCCAAATTGAGAGGGGGGGGACTTCATACCATACATCTATAACAGTACAGGACTACTATCTAGCAAAGGACTATTTTCTTCAAGAAAAGCAAAGATGTGTGACAAGTAATTTCATCTTGACATGTGGAACGTTTCAATCAAGTTACAGCTTTTACAAAACACAGCACAATGTGCCCTACTTATTACATGTTCAACATATTCAACTCCCTAACTTAGAGCAGTACGGCAGTGGACCCATTCACCTCGGGAGTTGGTGAGTATTCCAATATTGGAGTTATTCAAGAAAAAGTTAGATAATCACCTGGCAGATATGCTTTGACTGTATTCCTGCACTGAGCAGGGGGTTGGACTTAATGGCCTTGTAAGCCCCTTCCAACTTCACTTTTCTATGATTCTATGATATTGTGGGATTTCTGAAATAAAACACATTTTTTTCTAGCTTGTGAGCATCCAGAGTATTGTGTTTTTTTATCCCACATACATTCACACAACAAGCATTTCAATAAACACAACATGGCTAAGAAAAAGAACAGTGAGTTTGTAGTTCAATGGCACCTAACCCACTGGGTGTACATTTGGGCATGTAATACAAAAGACGTTTGTCCACATACACTTTCTGTGGTCATGTGGCCGGCATGACTAGACGTGGAATGCCATTACATTCCCACCGAGGAGGTACTTATTCATCTACTTGCATTTGCATGCTTTCTAAGTGCCAGATTGGCAGGAGCTGGGACAAGCAATGGAAGCTCATCCTGTTGAGCAGATCTGAACTGCTGACCTTCCACTTAGCAAGCTCAGTAGCTCAGCAGTTTAACCTGCAGCGCCACCCGTGTCCCTCTTTGAAAATCTTGGCAAACTAAGCGAGCAGGTAACAAAATGGTAAAAGTTGTCCAATGTATGCAACTGTAAGGTGGTACATGTTACAGCATAAATACAGAATGCAATACATTGAAGCAAATTTATTGCTAAACTAATAAATTGAATTTGTTAAAAAAATTACACCAAGGTAGTCAGAAAAAAGGTCTCTTAACTGACCAGAAAAGAGACCTTGTAGTTCTCTACTTCCAATGTTAAGAGTTCCGTGAAAAAATCGTATGTATGGCATTTGTGAAAAAGATGAATTACATGCTAGCGATCATTAGGAAAAGTATTGAAAATAAGACTGCCAGTACCAATGCAAATTGATAGTACGTCACATTTGGAATATTATGGTTACCACGGTACAAAAAGCCTATACAGTGGTGCCTCGCAAGATGATTTTAATTCGTTCTGCGAAAATTGTCGTCTTGTGAAAAAAAATAGTCTTGTGAGGTTCCCTATGCATCGGTCTCAAAAAAAAGTCTTGCGAAGCATCAGTCTAAAATAAAACATCTTACAAAGCACGGTCATAGAAAAAAAGGCTTGCGAGACACCATAGTGATCGCAAAAATGAATCGTCTTGTGGGTTTTTCGTCCCACGAGGCAAACGTCTAGCGAGGCACCGCTGTACTATAAATGGGGAAAAATACAGAAAAGAACACCCAAAGAACATATACAAATCTGTTTTTTTTCCACCTTAAAAAAACAGGGACTCTACTGTGGAATCAGGATTGAAGCACCAATTTACAAAAAACATTAGACTAAAGCTAAAAATGCAGTGGTTCTTCCCCCCGTCATGCAAATTATGTACAAAAGCTATATACAAAGTTTCCTGAACCCTAAAATAGTAATAAGAAAGAGATAACCTCATGACAGTCTGACTTCAAGAAGAAAATGAGAACTGTGACTGTACTCCTACCATCTCACTACAAGCATCAGAAACGACTGTTTTAAATCACCCAGCCTCTGAAAACTACAAACCACAGTTAAAAAAAACTTTAAAAAAGAAACAGAACTTCAAAAATCTACCTCAATTTTTAAAAAACAAAACAGTTAAATGTCCAGCAAAAGCCTCATCACTACTTTGCTACTTAGACGTTGTTGCTGTGCTTAGAATCTAGCCACAGTGTTATGGCTTTCTTGCAATTTTTTAAGCATACGAGAAGCATCTAAAAGGAACAAGAATTCGTGCTATACTCCATCCTAAAGGAATATTGAAAATGTGTATTTAAGAATTTCACAAACCAGATGCACATGGTCTGGAGCACTGAACCTTTGGAAAACTCCTCCCTCATTTTAGAAACTAGCCTTAAAACACTACAGTACAAAATCTTCCAAGGCTTGTAGTGTACAATATGCTACATAGAAATTAAATGTTTTTGCCCATGTACGATTTGCCCCCTCTGTCTCATGAGCCTTGAAGGCACAGCAGGTAATATAGTTCACTACAGTTAAATTTTAACTAATT